AACCATGTCAGAATTAAAGATTTCTAACACACACACACACACGCACACACACATCTCAGAATATTTACCACTCTAATTTCTTTCCCTTGTTTAAAATACTTTGTGGTATCTGGACAGGCGTTTCCCATAGAAGTTACAATGCTATGAGGAACATTCACATTTCCTACTGGAATGTCTGGATTTCAGTTCCTGGTAACACCTTGAGTTCCAGCTTCTGGTACTTGGGTTTCTGTACCTGTGTAGGAGACTCAGACTCAGTTCTGGGTTCCTGACTTGGGTCTGGCCCCAATTGTGGGCATTTGGGAAATGAACCAGTGGGTGGAAGAATTATCTCTGTTTTTCTCTGCTTCCCAAACAAATAAAACAAACCATTTTCTGATAAAATAAATGAGAAAGATAGATACAGCAATCTAACAATTTAATTTAGGGAGGCATGATAGACTTAAAATAATCCTAATTTTCCTCCTAAGGTTCAGTGTTGTTTCATTGTTTAGTTTTGGTGAGAAAAATCATGATAGTTCAGAAGTGGATTTTGGGAGTATGGTGCAGCAAGTTTTAAAAATCTCATTGAATACACATTATGGAACACAGAATAAAGATCATTCATTCATTTTATCCTGTAACTTAATGCATAAACTTTGTAAATATTTTAGCTTATTATACAAAAAGAACTTTTGCAGTTGTGACTAAACTGTGGATATTGTAATAGGATATTATCCTGAATTATCCAGTGGACTCAAAATATCACAAGAATAAAGAGATACTGTAGGGGTGGACGCATGCAATAAGAAGACATTATATTCACAGCTTTGTAGACGATGTAAAAACCCTTGAGTCAAAGCATATAGGTACATCTAGCAACTGGACAAACAAAATAGTTTGTCCTTCAAAGAACTCACAAGAAAACAGAGCTTTGAGTTTTAGCTCACTGAGTCTAACATTTTATTCCTTACTCCAAAATACTGCATTGTGATTTTTCAACACCGTGTTTATCCTAAATTATTAAGCTGAAATATACAATTAACTTATAAGTATTCTATTCACTAACAAAATCAAATTCATTGGAAAAACCACTACAACAAAATGAAGTACCATGGTATTTTGGTCAGTACTAAGATCTTTAGTTGGCAGACACTGATTTACACAATGTGGGCATCACTGTGGGGAGAGACAGAAGGAGGCCACAGGGTGGTAGCTGAGAATCTAAAAGAGCAGAACAGCAGTTTAGAGAAAAGTATGCTGGAATGAAACTAGGATGGGATGCAAATTTTGCATTATACTGTTTGTTTCTTTTTATTTATTTCTTTTTGTAATTATTTAATTTTGATAATCTTTACATAGTCAACAAGGGCACAAAGGGTCAAGGGCTACAGGAAAGTGGGTAAGACCATTGTTTCCACATTATTATTACTATTATTTCTGTATCTGAGGTAAGGGGGAAAAGAAGAAGCCCCACCCAGCCTCCCACCAATCCCTGGCCCCTGATGTGGAGCATGCTCTAAGGGTCCTGTTCAAGAGGTTTTGATAGTTAAACAATTCTGACTTGCTGCCAATGTCACCATTCTAAGCATGATGAAATCTCTCCAGAATCCACTGGTTGACATAGTCCACCTTAGAATCTTTGTTCACCCAGAGTTTCACTGCTAATTCTTGGCTGGGGTAGTTGATTGATTTGTTCTATCCTCTGTCCTCTGTTGTGGTACTAGGTGTCCTCTGCAGATTCCAATGGACTGCCATATCCTCCATGTGCACCTGGATATGCTCTCCACTTCTCCGTTTGAGCCTCTCAGGAGGCTTAGCTTTGACACTTGTACTCCATGACATACCATGGAACCTGCACTTCTCTTCAACATTGGGGATTTGAATCTGGCAGTTCAATTGGGGAGATTCCAAAAAAAAAGCTTCTTCTGAAGTGTTCCCAAACCCAGTTCTTGTGTGTGCATGCCAGCACAGAGTCTGGCACAGTCTGTCACTCAAATTGACTGATGGTTGCAATTGCTGGGTCAGTTCTGTTTCCAGCCCTGTCTTCCATATGAACCAATGGGTGTTACAGTTTAGCCTGATTCTGTCCACCACACACCTGGCCCTCACACAAACCAGTGGGAGCTGCAGTCTAGCTGGAGTGACTCACACTATCGCCCGCCAGGACTGTCCCCTGCCCTGGTTCCCATCCTTGCCAATATGTACAACAGACTCATCCAGTCTGTCCCACATCTCATTCAGCTCTCCTACATGTCAATGGGCATTGAAGCCTAGTTCAACCCAACAAGGCCCGCTATCCAGCATACACACATGCTGGTGGAAGCCATTCTGTCCAGCTGCATCTGTCCCAGATGTTTTTCATGCCCTGATTTCCATGCTTTCCTGTGGGAGTGGTAACCCAAGAGGGAGGTGCCCACAATTTCCCTACTGGACCCACTTCCACTCTTGGATTAAGCACTTTCTAGGTGGTTCTGCCATTTAACTTGACAGAATTAACCCCCAGTGTCAGCATCTGCCAGCTGATGCTGCGGCAAAACCCAACCAATCCTCTGTTGCTTTCCCAGGTCACAAGCAGGCAGCCGGATTGGAAGTGGAGCTGCTAGGACTAGAATTGTGCCTAAATGGGATGTAGGCACAGCAAGACAGAGGATTAGTCTGTTGAACCACCATGCCAGTTCCATGATGATTCCCTTTAACAGTAATGAATGTAATGGCTTGATGGTAAGAGTGACTGAAACAGCTGTGTAAGTGGAACCATATGGACCCTAAAGACTGAACTATCAGCTCTGTTCTGAGAAATAGATAATGTTGTGAGAAAAACGAAAATAGAATGAGACAAAGGTGAGTCTGAGCAGCAGAGTATGTATCTTATTCTCCTGGCCATGTGGCTTTGGCTGGGAGAACCTGTGATGTGCCACTTTGCCTTCCTGAAATCCTAGCTTCCCTCTACTGCTGCTGTGTTGGGGGGAGAGTCCTTGGCTTATGGGCAGCCAGTGCACCAACTGGAGCTGAGCTCTGACCCCTGGCTGCCTGGCAGTGAACTCTGGGGGCTTTGGGGTATCAATTACTGCCTAGGGACATCCATGGATAAGATCACTTTACATGTAGATGAGGAATGAATCCAGAGGGATACTCAACGACGAAGCCACTGCACTTGCAGGTAAGCGAGGTGACCGAGACCTTGTGGTTTATAGGGGAGAGACCTGAAGATCTTTATGGGTCAGACTGATACATCAACCCACATGGGAGTCCTGGGTTGGGTTTGTTAGCATGGAACATGGCTTACCACCGCAAGCGAGCGCACCTGCAAGCTATGGAATTTCTCTGATAAGGCTAGATTCCAATACCTGACACTGAGTGTTGGATCAGGGAATGGATCAAGTTGGTCATGGCCATGACATCAAACAGCACACAAGAGAACTAGGTCCAGGGGTGGATTCTGTGGGGGATATATGGGCCCAATCCTGTGGAACTATAAGTCCCACTGGTTAGTTTGAGATGGTGATGTGCTGACCTAGGTATGACCATGTAACACCAATGCTTAACGGTGCTGGTGCTAGAAACAAGTGGGGCAGATCCAGGCTGTACCACTTTCATGTGCACGCTAAAACAGGGTGTGGGGTGGGCTGGACCACATCAACTTATACAAAGGCCACCACAGATGGGGCAGGCCATGCAATATAAGGACCAAACACCCATTGACATGCATGAAATCTGGGTCAGGGAGTGACCCAAATGGAGGAACCTGGGAAAGTCCCACAGTGGGGACTAGCCTCTATTGGTAAGCATGTGGTTCAGGCCTGGGTTATGGGCAGGCTGGGCAGGGTAGCACCATTCATAAGCAAGTCTATGAGTTGGTTTTGGATTGAGGCAGACCTGGAGGGACTGAGCAAACTATAGCCTACTGGCAAGTGAAGAAACCAGGATGGAGTGCAGGTCATGGTACACTAGGCTGCCATTCCTATTGTTTTGCATGAGCCAGGTATGAGAACAGACTTAGCAGGGCCAGGTTGCAGTACCCACCAGCAAGAGCTGGGCTAGGGGTCAACTGGGCTAGACTAGGCTACAGCTTCCAAAGACAAGGGCAAAGACAGTGGAGAGGCTGTACCAAGCTGAGTCAGAGCAACCACAAGCACATTTGTGATCTGTGGCTAGAATCAGTCCAGGATGGGGAATTAAGTGGATGCCCTGGCTGGGTTGTGGGTCTCACTGGTAAACATGGGGGCCAGAGTGGGGGCTGCGGTTTTGTTTGGACATGGCTGCAGTCTCCCTTGGCACAAGTATGGACTGAGTCTGGGGCATGCCATACTGGGCTAGACCCCAGCACCAACTAGTTATCATGAGAACCATGGTGGGTGTAGGATAGGCTGGGCTAGGTCTCTGACCCTACTAGCCATGTGTGAGCTGGATGTGGATGAACCTTGACTAGGCTGTAACACTCAATAGTAAGAACCAGGCCAGGGTCTGTCAGGAAAGGCTACTGTTCGTCCTGGGACAAGAGTTGGACTAAGTAGGGTTGGCCCATGGACCCACCAGTCTGTGCGAGATCTGGCATTAAGAGAGATTCTGATGGAGGAGCTTAGAGAATGCCTCTGTCAGGAAAATCCCTGCAGGAGAGCCTAAGAACCAAGAAAAGAAACAGCCCAGACCAGGCCAGGGAAGGGTACCCACAGGCTTATCTTTGGCTTAAGCTGGGGGCAGACAGGCTGGACTAGTTCATATTACACAGTGGAAAATCTGAGAGCCAGAATGGAGTGTGGGTCATGCCGGGCTAGAGACAACTGATCCAGCAATTGCAACTAACAGTGTGTACGTAGGCTGATTTGGGTGATGGACTGTGCCGGACCCTGTGTTGGCATGAACAGACAAAAATCAGGACTGGGATCACCTTAGATGAAATTTCTTTGGGAATCCCCCCCCCCCAACTGAACTGCTGGGTTCAGAACACCAATTACGGAGAAAATTGCAGGTTCCATGGTCTGACTGTGGAATGCATGTGTCCTAGCTGGGTCTCCTTTGTGGTTTAGACAGAGCAGTGCACAGCATATCCAGAAAAACATGCAGGATTTGGCAGTACGCTGGAGCTTTCAGAGGACACCTGGTACTATAGCAGAGGATGGAAGACAGAACAAATCAATTAACTACCCTAGCCAAATGTTGGCAGTGAATACCTGGGCAAATGGAGTCTCTAAGGTGGACTATGGCAGCCAGTGAAGTCTGGAAAGATTTCATTATGATTGGAGTGGTGAGACCGGAGACAATACTGAGCTGTTGAACTATCAAAACCACTTCAGCAGAACCCTTAGCACATGTCCCACATTGGGGACCCTGGGATGGTTTGGAAGGTTTGGTGTGGCTTCTCCCCTTATCTCCCTCCTTCCCCAGATACAGGAAGGAAAGAAGAGAATGTCAAAGCAATGGTGTCACCCACTCTCCTCTAGCACTTGACCCTTCACACCCAAATCACATATGTAAAAATTATCAAAAAATGAAATTTATACAATAAGAAAGAAAAAGTGATCACCCAACTCAAAGATACAGAAAGAAAGAAAGAAAGAAAGAAAGAAAGAAAGAAAGAAAGAAAGAAAGAAAGAGAATAGAATGAGGCAGAAATATCTGGAATGAGCTAAATGACATATTGCTGTGTTGGAAGCAAAGCCAGGAATCATAGAAAAGCTATCATATGCATTTATATCATTATAAGATGGAGAAATAGGGACAGACCAGTAGAGCTGTGAAGTTAAAATGCTACCTAATTCCACCAGTCCAAGAAAATGCATCTCATGGAAAGATGAACAAGAGAAAAATACTGAGGTCAAATCTCACACAAAAAATAACAGTAAGAAAAAAAAATGAGGGCGAGACATAGATTGAGATCCCTATACCCCCTGAGAATATACTCTCAAGGTATATTCAGAAACAGAACAAAATGAGTAGATGCTTTGCACAGTAGATGATATGCCACTGGCGATACCAGGGTTGTTTGTCCAATGCAAGGGTCCAGTTCTGGCTCTGGTTCTTATCGCTGCTTCCTACTAACACGTAACCTGACAGGCATCAGAGCATGGTTCAAATACTCCCTGCCATCTGTGTGGTGCAACTAGACTGAGTTCCTGGCTCCCGTCTTCAACCTGGTTCATGGCTATTACAGGCATTTAGGGAATGGAACACAAAAGGAAGAAACCATTCTCTCTCATTCTCTCTCACTCTCTGTCTCCCCTCCCTGTGCCTATTAGTGTGTTCACAATGAAGTCAAAACACATACTATTTTCAAGATTTATTTGTTTTTATTGGAAAGAGAGATTTTCAGAGAGAAGGAGAGAGAGAATGATTTTCCACCCACTAGTTCATTCCCCAAGTGGTCAAAACAGCTGGAGCTGAGCTGAGCCAAAGTCAAGACCAGGGAGCCTCTTCTGAGTCTCCCACAGTTCAGGTTCCCAGGACTTTGGGACATTCTGTAATGCTTTCCCAGGCTACAAGCAGGGAGCTGGAAGGAACATGGAGCAGCTGAGGTATGATCGGGCACGCATATGGCATCCCGGTGGATGCAAGGCAAGGACTTTAGCCACTAGGTTACTGCACCAGGCCCAACACATAAAATTTTCCAAAAAACAACATTGTGTCAGAGTATATTATGAAAATTATTCCTAACATCTACATGTCACAAAGATAGCAGGATTCCACATGAAACAAAGTAAAAACAAGCAACAGCCAAACATTAAAGCGACAACGAAAAGAAACTTAGCAAAGAATCTTACCTAAAATAAAAATTTCAATGCTATCAATTGAGAAAATATATTGTAGGCCAATATCTAGACTCATCCTAGCAAAGTTATTTGTTCTTTGGAAAAAAAAATCTTTGGGGCATTACACACACCCACACAATCTATTCTTGAATGTCTTGAAAGCAATACTTTATGCAAACACGGTAACGATAACTAAGCAGAAAAAAATGTTGCCACATTTTATGTCCAGTGAAACTGATGCTCATGTATGAACAATACAGAAGAAACATTGACATGAAGAATAAATCCATGAGGGCTTCCGAAGAAACTGAGTAGAAATGGAAATCACGTAGCCAAAATGACTGTGGATCCAGAAACACAGAGAATGGTGCTGAGCTCTAGAATGAAGACTAAACAAAGACAGAAAAGCAGCACAGTATGTAATAGCTGTGTGTGCCCATTACGTAGATGCACCTATTGTAAATGAAGGGGAAGGTATGGGGGATAATTATTAACATTTGAATTGTTTTCTTCATCATAATCTTGGTATTATTATTATATCACTACCTCTGTGTGTAAGTTAGGTTTACACAAACAAGCAAATGTCTCCTTGATAACCACAGGTTTTAATATGAAATCAAAGACACATAGATATCATAGAGAACAGATGACCTAAAGGCTTCTTTGAGTTGAATTTGAGTTGTAAATCTCGATATGCTGCCATAATATATTCTATTCTTGCCTATTGTTAGGTTCAGAGACGATCAGACTGGCTACCTACTCCAGGCAAAGGGTTTTAAGAAGCATGTGGGGAAGGTCTGACAGACGGCCCTTGCAGGACACCCTCAGGGACCACACACAGGTAATGGATTGAGGAAAACGGCCACTGAGGGTATATACCGCTGGCTGGAAGCTCATTGTTCTGTGCAAGCAGATGTTGACCTTTTGCACAGAGACAAGGTCAAGGTGGTCTGGCATTTCAAAAATTCTTGAATGGGAGTGTTGACCAGCTTGGCTGCCAAGTCTAGCATGTATATGCATACTCGTTCTCATGATAGGTTCATAGAAAATGCAAGAAACAATACACAATGAGGTAAAAAAAAAACAAGTATCTCCCACATGTGCTTCACATGAAATAAGACAATTCCTAGAATTGTTTAAGATTGAATAAGATGCGGCACGTTACCCCAGACAGCAAAGAAATTACCAGTAGCTTATTAAGACTATGTCGGAGGATCCCAGGAGTCACATTTAACAGTTTTTCACTGGCTTCACATAGGACAATAGTGAAATACCCATTAAATATGTGAAATCTCCATGTTCTCAAATTTATTTATTTATTTATTTATTTATTTAATTTATTGGAAAGTCAGATATACAGAGAGGAGGAGAGACAGAGGAAGATCGTCCGTGTGATGATTCACTCCCCAAGTGAGCGCAATGGCCAATTCTATGGCAATCTAAAGTCAGGAGCCAGAAACTTCTTCTGGGTTTCCCACACAGGTGCAGGGTCCCAAAGCTTTGGGCCATCCTCGACTGCTTTCCCAGGCCACAAGCAGGGAGCTGGATGGGAAGTGGAGCAGCCGGGATTAGAACCGGTGCTCATGTGGGATCCCGGGTGTTCAACCGCTAGGCCACGGCGCCGGGCCCTCAAATTTATTTTAATAAAAATCAATTCCTTTTGGGTTCATAAAGTGAAAGAATAAAACATATGTGCTCTTTTTCCCAAATGAGCCACTGGATGACCAAGTAATTGTTGCTAGAAAGTTTCTCTTTATAGTCACTTCCCAGGTAATAAAAAATGAGCAGACTCAGAGCTGGAGTATCACCACGTTACAACTTCTAACGAACACACAGCCATTAGCCTTAATGGTTTCTGAGAAAACAAAAAGAGGTATGACTAAATAATGAATGTTTTCTTGCCAAAACTATGCCATCAGCTAAATACATTGCCAAATTACATAATCTGATAAGATGCAAATTTCCTCCTGAAGGAGACATTTTGAGAATAATACAGAGAGAGGAATACAGAGATAGAAATTCTCACTTGTGGAAAATGTATAAGCTGTGGATGCTGTACTGTTTCAGTGAATATTTTGGGAGAAAAAGCTAGGCAGCAGGGAAATACAAATTCACTAAGAAGAAAGAAATACAACAGGAAATACTGACAATCTTTCCAGAAGCATAAATGAAAGGAGCAGAGGAAGCTAGGAGAGACAGCAGGATAGAGTTAGGGGTGGATTTTTAAATAAAAGAAACATTATGCATGTGCTAGAGGGAAAGGAGTTCAGTGAAAAAGAAAGTGAAAAGGGATGAGAAATTTGTAGGGAAAGTGAAAGAAAGTAGGATATGGTGGAATCTGTGGCTATCACAAGAAGGCATGTTCTATTCACAGCTTACGTGTCTCATGAGCACAAAAGGCGGTGAGCTGACTGCATGCAAGGTTCAGAGAGATGCGGCAAGAGCAATGACAAGAGTAGAAGTCCCTTGCCATCTAGTGAGGCTGTTACTGGGAGGAGCATTGAGTCCGTCTGAAAGAGCCACCAAGGCAAATCTCCCAGTCCGGCTAATGCTTTTTGTTAGAGCTCTGAAGTGGTATCAGAAGACTCTTCAAGTTATTTACCACTGAATCTGTGAAGGGTATTGCTTTTAACTGTTTTTCCACAAACAACAATGAAAAAAATCAATTCTGTTGCTTTATTTTTGAAAAGCACTTACAAATTTGGGCCCAGCACGGTAGCCTAGTGGCTAAAATTCTCACCTTACATGCACCAGGATCCCATGTGAGCACTGATTCTAATACCAGCAGGCCAGCTTCCATTCCAACTCTGCCTGTGGCCTGGAAAAGCCATTGAGGACAACGCAAAGCCTTGTGGCCCTGCACCCACATGGGAGACCAGGAAGGAGCTCTTTGCTTCGGATCCGGTCAGCTCCAGTCATTGCGGCCATTTGGGGAGTGAATCAGCAGATGGAAGATCTTCCTCTCTGACTCTCAAAAAAGAAACAAAGAAAGAAAGAAATTTATTCAGGGTATCAGATTGCATAAACTATGTCTTACTGACATCAAACAAATTTTGCAGCTAAATAGAAATATCAGTCTTAGAAGCTGTCATAGTATTTCCTGAAACTCTCACCTCAGTAGAGTGAAATTCATTAAAGAACTCATTGTAAAGAGGCTTACCATACACCAGACACTAAAAATTAACTATGAAAACTAAACATCTGGTTTTGAGACTCAAACAATATTTCATTTCAGAAAATTAACTTAAAGCTATATTTTATGCTCTTTTATTTTTAAACATTTTAACTGAAAGAATACATTATTAAAAAGGTTTTTGTGAGCAGATGTATATGTAACACTTTACATTTTCAAATATGTGCTTCATTTGCAAACATTGCGTGTCTATACATGCATAGATGCACACACATACACATAAAAACACACATGCTTTTATACGATTCACGTTTATTTGAAAGACAGATTTACAGACAAAAGAGCCAGAGTTTCCATTTGCTTGTTCATTCCTCAGTGGTAGCAAAGGCCAGAGCTAGGCCTATCTGAGACTAGGAACAGGGCTCATTTTTTGCATGATATTCTGCATAAGTCCTGGGGCCCAAGGAATTCGGTAAACCTCCACTGCTTTCTCAGGCCGTAAACAGAGAACAGGATTGGAAGTGGAGCAACCGGGACAGAAATCAAAATGCCCATGTGGCATGCTGCAACTGCAGACAGGGGCTTACTCGGTTGGCTAGTATTTTGTTGAGGGTGTTTGCATCTATGTTCATCAGGGATATTGGTCTGTGGCGGTCTTTCTGTTGTGTATTGATCTGGCTTTAGTATTATGGCGATGTTGGCTTCACAGTTCTTGGTTGTTCTATGTGAGTCCCAGGTATTCATGATTGTATTCGCTTTTTGTATCTCATTCTATTGATCTGTGTCTTCTCCCTCTTTTTTTTTAATTATTATTATTATTTTACTAGTTGGGCTCCTGGGGTATCTATTTTGTTCATTTTCTCAAAGAAACAATTCTTTGATTCATTCATCTTATGTACTGTACTGTTTGGGGGGGTCTCTATTTAATTCTTCCCTTATTTTGATTATCTATTTTTTCTGCTAATCTGGGATTATTTTGCTGTTGTTTCTGTAGGTTTTTTAGACATTAATTTTAGCCACTTATCTAGTGGTGTTCTAGTTTCTTGACATAGTAATGCCTGTCCAAATTAACTTTCCTCTTGGCACTGCCTTTGCTGTATCCTTCAAATTTTGTTATATGGTGCTAACGCCTTTGTTTCAAGCAATTTTTCAATTTCCTCTTCGATTTCTTCTATAACCCATTTTTCATTAACAGTATGTTGCTCATGTTACAAGCTTTTGCATATCTATGTGGTATTTTCACTTACTGATCTCTTGTTCCACTCCATGATCATCTGAGAAAACACAACTTATGATTTTGATTTTTTTAAAAATTTGCTGAGGCTTGTTTTGTGACATACAATGCGATCAATCCGCACAGGTATCCATGTACTAATGAAAAAAGCACATTCTGTGGCTAGAGATGATAGCTTCTATAGATATAATTAAGCCTATTGGTTCTATTGTCTGGGTGAGCTCTGTGGTTATGTTACTGAATTTCTATTTTATTGATCTGTCCATTGATGTTAGTGGGGTTTTAAGGTCCCTCACTATTGTTGTATTGGAGTCCATTTCTCCCTTTAAGTTCATTTATACTTGTTTCACATAGCTAGCTCCCCTGGCATTTGGTGCATATACATTTACTATGATTTCTTCTTTCTGAATGGGCACTTTACTCATTCTGTGGTGTCCTTCTTCATTTCTTGTAATGATTTATAATCTGAAGTCTTTATTATATGATCTTAGCATAGGTATACCAACTTGTTTTTCCTTTCCATTTTCCTAGAATATCCGTTTCCATCTTTTCAACTTAAGTTTCCCTGTATCTTTATTGATAAGATGCATCCATCATAGGCAGCAGAAAGATGGGTTCTGTTTTTGGATTCAGTCAGCTAATCCATGTATTTTGATTGATAAATTTTGACCATTTACCTTCGGGTCTAATATTGACAGGTAGTGATTTGCTCCTGTCTTTTTCTTAAAAGATTTATTTATTTATTTTTATTAAAAGGTAGATATACAGAGAGGAGGAGCGACAGAGAAGAAGATCTTATAGCCAATGGTTCACTCCCCAAGCAGCCGCAACAGATGGCGTTGACTCAATCCAAAGCCAAGAACCAGGACCTTCTTACAGAGTTTCCCCCACAGGTGTAGGGTCCCAAGGCTTTGGGCCATCTTCGATTGCGTTCACAGACCACAAGGAGGGAGCTGGATGGGAAGTAAGGCTGCTGAGATTGAAACAAGCATCTATATGTGATCCCTGTGCATTGAAGGTGAGGACTTTACCTGCAATGCTATTGTGCCGGACACTTGCTCCTGTCATTTCAGCATTGCATTTCTTATTGCTTCATTTAGATTTATTTTGCAGTTTTAGTGAGATGTTCCTATGCTTGCCTTTGAATTTTGTAGGTGTCATTCTTTTCGTTTCCTATCCATTGCATATATGTATATATTATTGTAAGTCGCTTGACTTTGACCTCTGTTCTTTTTTTTTAAATTAAAATTATATTTGTTTTTATTGGAAAGATCAAAATCTCAGAGAGAAGGAGAGGCAGAGAAAGGTCCTCACCCTGCTACTTCACTTCCCAAATGGCTACAACAGTCAAAGCTGAGATGATCTGAAGCCAGAAGTTTTTTTCTGGGTCTCCCACACAGGTGTAAGGTCCCGAGGCTTTAAGCCATCCTCCACTCCTTTCCCAGGCAACAAGCAGGCAGCTGGAAAGGAAGTGAAGTAGCTGGAACATGAAAAGGTGTTCATATGAGATCCTGGAACTTGCAAAGTGAGAATGTAGCCATTGAGCAATTGCACTGGGCCCTCAACATTTATTTGTTGACATTTTGATAATAACCATTCAAACTTGTGTGAATTTGCCAGTACAGGGTCCAGCACAGTACGTTGCCCCAATCAGCTTATGCAATGCTGGTCGTTGCAATTGCTTGGTCAGTTCTGTTTCCAGCCCTGTCATCCACTTGAAACAATGGGTGTTGTAGTCCAGCTCTATCCTACCCGCTTCATACTCAGTCCTCACGCAAACCAGTGGGAGCTGCAGCCAGCTGCTCTGGAATTATTGACAGAAAGTCCTCATGGGATATTCCTATTATCATCTCAGTATCTAGTCAGTTTGACCTATTCTATATAACCTTTTCATTTTGAAAAATCTATTTATTGGGCCCATTGAGATAGTCTAGGGGTTAAACGTTGCCATGCATCTGCCAGGATTCCATATGAAGGCCAATTTATGACCCAGCTGTTTCACTTCCCATCCAGCTGCCTGGAAAGCAGTTGCAGATAGTCCAAAACCATGGAGACCTGCACCCCCTTTGGGGACTAGGAAGAAGCTCCTTGATCTTGGCTTTGGCTTGGCTCTGCTCTAGCACTTTTGACTACTTAGGGAGTGAAACAGCAGATAGAAGATGTTACTCTGTCTCGGTTTCTCTCTGTAAATCTAACTTTCCTATAAAAATACAATTTTTAAAGATTTGTTTATGTTTAAAGTTTTATTCATTTTTATTGGAAAGGCAGATTTACAGAAAGAAATAGAGACAAAGAGAATGATGTCCTATCTGCTCATTCACTCGCCAAGTGGTCATAAGAGCTGGAGCTGAGCTGATCCAAGGCCAGGAGCTAGGAGATTCTTCCTAGTCTCTCATTAGGTTGCAGAGTGCCAAAGCTTTGGGCCATCTTTCACTGCTTTCTCAGGCCACAAGTAGGGATATGGATGGGATTGAGTGTATGCAAGGTGAGGATTTAATCACTGAGCCACTGTGTTGGGTCCCAGGTATACAATTTTTTTCAAGGTTTATCTATTTTATTAGAAAGGCAGATATACAGAGAGGAGGAGAGACAAAGATCTTCCGTCCGATGACTTACTCCCCAAGTGGCCAGAATGGCCAGTGCTGCACCAATCCAAAGCCAGGAGCCAGGAACTTTCCGGATCTCCCACGCGGGTGCAGGGTCCCAAGGCTTTGGACCATCCTCGGCTGTTTTCCTATGCCACAACAGGGAGGTGGATGGCAAGTAGAGATGCTGGGATTAGAACCAGCACCCATATGGGATCCCGGTGTATTCAAGGTGAGGACCTTAACCATTACGCTATTTCACCTGGCCCTGGTTATGCACTTTTTTTTAAAATTATATTTTTGACAATCTTCACATAGCTAACTAGGGTAAAAAGGTTCAAGGGCCATGGGGAAGTGGGCAAGACCACTATTTCCATATTGTTTCCTTCATGTATCTGAGGTAAAGGGGGATATTGAGGGAGAAGTGCTAT